CTTTAATCTGCTGAGCTATTTGGCTGGCCCAGGTTTTCTATTTAATCAAGATAATTTCTTGTGTTTTTGGCTCTCAGGCTTTTGATTGCTTCAAACTGAGTTTTAAGATACTTAAGGCTTATTTAAATGTCTGCCTGTCTTGGTTACTGTTTTTGTTGCTGAGACAAAATACCCAACACCCACAGTTAAGAGAGGGTTTCTTTAGCTCACAACTTGTACAGGCTGGATGGCTCCAAGGCAGAGTGGCACATAGCCCAGGGCAGCAGAGAACAGCTCATGGCATCCACAAGGTCGCAAAGGCACTAAGAGAGGCAGACAAGGCTTTCCATGTCCCTTACACTGAGTCCAGGCTATTGCCTGAGGGCAGCTGTGGCGCTCACACCCTTACCCAGGCAGCTCTGTGCCAAAGCAGTCAGTGGGCTGATGTCCTGATTACACGCCCTCGATCCCAGATCCCAGCACCAGGCGCTCTGGATCCAGCCACCTCTGGAAAGCCCACCCCATGACTGCATGAGGCTTTGGGAACATATAGACAGACTATAGCATTCTGCCCCAGCATGGAAAGACTCACACACACCCCTTTATGCAGGAGGCATTTGGTTCTTCTCTAAAAGTTGCCAAAGTCCTGAAAGTTTCAACATTGCTGTGAAGTCCAAGTCCCAAGTCTCCTCTGAGATGTAAGGCAAATTCTTAGCTGAAAGCCCCCGTACAAATGAAAAGAAAGCTATGCATTTCCAATATGCAATGACAGACAACATTCACATGACAGACATTTCCATTCTGAAAGGTACAAATGGGGGATACAAAGGAGTGGGACCAGAGCAAGTCCAAAACCCACCAGGGCATCCATCGAATCCTACAGCTCCATGCACCCCAGCAATCTGTGGCAAGATGCGACCTCTGAGGGGTTTGGGTGGTACCGTCCCTGTGGCACTGCGGGTGGCAGTAGCTCCCATGCCTTCTCCCTGGGGCTGGCTTCGCCCCCTCCTTGCAGTTAGCAGCAGATCACCCACATTCCTAGCTTCCCCACGCTTCTGAAGTCTGTGCTGCCCCCTCAGCCTCACACTCACAACTTTTCATGCTGCCCTCTTGGGCACACTGCCTGGCATCCCAGGGCTGCTGCTGAAATCGGGGTGGAAGCCTTTCTGACCGCACAACTCTTGCATCCTTAAATGCACCTAGAACCAGCTCCACATGGATGATGCCTAGGTCTGCTGCCAGATGAAGCAGTAGCCAGGCTTCCTTCTCCGTTGGCCGTAGGGGTCCAGTGCCTGGGAACCAACTCCCGAGGAACAGCCTCCCTAGGCCACCGCCATTCCGGAACACGAAGCTCTGAGCTTTCTTCTCAAAGCAGCTTTTCACCTTTGCAATTTGGACACTGCAGAGGGTAGAGTCCTGCTGCTTCTGGGGATGCCCTCAGGCCATCTTTTCTGTTCTTCTGTTCTGGTTCAGCAGTCAAGATCTCTGTTGTCTTTGCAGTCCCCAGCTTTACTGGAGCTTCCTTTCTGGCCAGACACACAATGTTTTTAAATCCTTCTGCTGGGCTCTTTGCTCTTGATTCCCAATATGATTTGGCTAAAAGCCCCCAACAGTAGCCACACCACGGGCTCTACATTTGACTGCCTTGAAACTTATTCTGCAGTTAATTAGCCCCCTACCCTTAATCTCAGCCTCAGGCAAAGTCTCTGGCTGGATACGAGCAAGATGTACGCAAACTTTCTGCCACAGCACAGCCCACGTCGTCTGGAGTCTGGCAGCCAGTGCAGTCCTCCTCCTCCTCCTCTTCCTTCCCCTCCTCCTCTCCCTCCCCCTCCCCCTCCTCAGCAGAAACCTCTCAGGCCAGGACTTCATTGCCTTTGGTCTTCTGAGCCCTGACCAGAATCTCCCGTAGGACACTGCCTACGGGGTTCCAGCTCTGCTTTTTCAGCTGGCATCTCCAGATCATTCCCAGTTCTCCCCAAAGCTATCCCGAAGGCTCCTGAACCACATGGTCAGACACAGCTACAGCCAACAGCCCACTTCTCTGGTGCCAGATTCTTAAGTTACTTTTCTCACTGCTCAAAACACCTGACACCCAAAGGTAAGGGTGCAAAGGTTTACGCAGCTCAGGTTGTAGAGGTTCCGATCTGGTTATACGAACAACGGTTATTTTAGGTTATTATAGTATATTCGGCACCTTTTACTTATGTACAGGAAACCTCTCACCTGAAAGCTGAGCCCACACTCTGTAAACAGAGTCACAAATTGCAGATACCCACCCCCAAAACACAAACTTACCCAGAGCCAGAGCCCGATCCACCTTTCTTTTGTGGACCTGCACTCTATTTCCTGTGAGTACTGCTCTAACTCTGTCTAATAATTTGTGTCTCTAAAGAATGGATCTAATGTGTATGTTGGAAATTTTTTTCAAGTTTTAATTTTGTAGTAGTCCTCAGGTTTTTGCATGTATAGAACTCATCATCTGCCAGGCCCGGTGGATCACACCTGTAATCCCAGCACTCGGGAGGCTGAGGCAGGACTGCCATGAACTTGAGGCCAACCTGGGCTACACAGTGAGCTCCAGGAGGGCCTGAGCCACAAGGCATGTCCACCTTCGGGGCCACAGAGGTGGGAGTGAGCGCTCACTGCGATCAGAGGCCCTGCTGCAGGGCGGGGCCGTCCTGCCAGGCTGCAAGCCGTGGCAGCAGGCACATGGGAGGGCTCCTTCCCTCACTGCGCGGCTGCCCAGGCATCTGGCTCTTCCGAGGGCTGCTTTGCCCCTGAAGTTCTGGGGACTGGCTTTAAGTTAGGAAGACTGGTGACTCGTGTCAGCAGTGACAGTTCTCTCCCTTTAAAGTCCATCTGATCTTATTACACTTAGCACCACTATGATGGGGAGGGGAGGACTAACCGGGCAGTCGGCAAGAACTGCTTTGGCGCTTACCTGGGCTCAGGAGGCTGAAGCAGAAGAGTAGCTGAGTTTGAGGCAGCTTGGGCTACTCAGTGAGCTGAACGCCAACGTAGCCCACCTAGCAGGACCCAGGGCCCAAACCAGAAGAACTGCTGCTTTTTCTCACTTGAACTTCTAGCAGGCTCTGAAGGGAGTTGTGATGGTTCTTTGAAAATGTCTGGCCCCTTCACAGCAGTGCTGGCTGCACCGAGCCCGCCAGGGCCCCGTGCACGCCGACGGGCACCTGGCCTCGGCCTCACGCAAGGTGTGCGCTTGCTTCCTTCCAGATGTGGCTGAAGCCCTGCAGGCGGGCCGACATCCCCAGGCGGCCAAGCTACCTCGCACCGCTGTACAAGACCAGTGAGCGGAGAGGGACGCTGTCCACCACGGGCCACTCCACCAACTTCGTGATCGCCATGACGCTCCCCTCCGACCACCCCGAGGAGCACTGGATCGGGCGCGGCGTGGCGCTGCTGTGCCAGCTCAACTCCTGACACCGGCCACTTCCTGCCAGGCAGCGGGGTACACAGTGTTCTGTCCGAACCAGTTTTCTAGCTTCAATAAATCTAAGTAACTTTCTTAACTACAAATTTGCCATGTGTGAGCGCAATGTCAATCTATAATGCATGCTGTGTTGATAAAGGACACATGGGCCGGGGCAGCAGCTCCGCGGTCTAAAGCACCTGCTTCGGCAAGCCCACAGCGGCCATGGTTTGATCGCTGGCACCGGCCACAAAATAGGTAGGTAGGTAAACAGACAGACAGACAGACAGACAGACAGACAGAGACAGACAGAGGACACGTTATGAAGCAGTAAGGGACACAGTGTATTGGCTCTTTTGGAATAACTTTATTTTGGGAGAGTTCCGTAAGCATCAGGAACATACATAAAATGACACACCACTGTTGACAAAGAAAACCAGCATATGATCATTTCCAGCTTTATAAATTTTTTAAAAATGATTTCAGTTACAACAAAAAAAGTCTAGATATTTTAGCAAGAATCACCTTGCAGGACCATAATCACAATTAAGCCACCGACTCCCCGCTAATGGAGAACTCGCACTGTGCACAGGAACTACAGCGCCTCTAAGCATAATCACAGCCGACGGAGTGCAATGTGCTATACACCAAAACCCACATGGACGTCACACAGTGACAGCACCGTACAGGTAACGTGAAGGACCTCCAACAGACGCACGGTAGATGAGCCTGGTCCGCTGATGGAATGTTGGAGCCAAACAGAAATGTAGTAGAATTGAGATTGTCTAGAAGACTTCAAACTATGTATTAGAAAAATGATGTCAAAACTAAACACTGGTGGAACCCTATCAAAATACTAGCAGCAACTGTTAACAGCCCTCTTAGGAAGCTAAGAAAATCCAGCAAAGAAAGATAATACCACTTCAGAAGAGTATAAAACTGTATATACCTTAGCATAATCTATCAGCTTTAAATGAGGCATTTATTTTAAGACTGGGAATATATTCCAGCTGTTGCTTTTAAATGAAGCAGATTTCAAGCTGGAATGCATAATCCTCCTGGGCACAGACCCGAAGTGAACTGGAAGTGTTTCCTGGTTCAGAAAGCAAGATCCCTTGAGGTTGGCAGTACTAAGCCAAACGTCAGCACCTTTTTGCTAGGTTGCTTGAAGAGCCAAGCAGTGAGCTGAGGGCTGTCTCAATTCAGTGCCCAACATGGAAAAATGATATCTGTGGTTTTAAAAAAATACTCCGACTTATTACAAAGAGGCCACGAGAAAAGCAGAAGCAATTTCCAGATTCAAGCATAAATTAAAGATGTACAACACACATGCTCTCCTCTTTGTGGCATCAAGGTCTGTCAACGCCTGATGCACACGATGCTCCTCAAGTTTGGTTTTGTTTGTGAAACAAAACTCCACAGAGTAAGTGGAGGGGAACGGGGAGGACAGGCGGACTCCACGGAGACGCCTCCCATGGAATGGAGCGTTCGGCTCTCTTGTGTCCGAGCTGAGCCGGAAGATCTGTGAAGAGCGACACCGGCTCCAAGCAGGTGGAGACGCAGTAGGCAGCAGAGCCAGGTGCGCCGACCCAGCCGGGAGAAGCCTTGGCACAAAGTGTAAACAAGGTCTACATGCAGGACTGGCAGACAGACCACCACGCCAAGCTCGGGGGAAACATGGCCTGCGCGCCTCACAACCCATCCACACGTACAGCCAGGAGGACAGCGCGCACAGGGCAGGACACCGGTCCCTCCCGTCAGGCACCTACAGCAGATCTTGGCACAGAGGGGCCAGAGACTGCAGCTCAGACTGACCTCGCGGCTGCCAGTGTCACCATCTGCTACCCTGGCCTCACTGCAGTCACCGCCCGGGCCCCAAGGCCAAACTGCGAACACGTGGAACTGGAATTTCCCCACGAACCCAGCCAGTGTCACCAAGCTGGAAAACTGAATAGCTGGACCACATCTGGGTTCACTTTGCGGATGTGTCACAGGAGGTTGTCATCTTAAGGAAAAACATACGACCACATGCTGACACGCCCCTCCCCCCAACCCCAAACAGAAACAAAATTATGGTTAAGAAACAGAAAAATACCCCAAATACCAAGTATTACAACAGTACAAAGAACCATTATGAATCTGTCATTAAACTGAAGCTCACACAAACATACAATCACAAGTTTCAGTAGTTTAGGCTGCAAGTTCAGACACTATGCAAATATATACAAAAATAGTAACTCTAGATTCAAGAATAAGGGCTTCCCAACGCTAATTCATCGTCTCCTGCAGCCTGAGCCCTCCCCCAGCCCCCAGTCTGCTGCGCGGCTTCCAGGCTGTGTCGAGCTGACCCTGGCGCGCGGTCCAGACGGGGCTCGAGCGAAGGGCAGTCTCATCCTCAGCACGTGGACTTGTCTGCTCAGCGTCCGCTTCTAATATTCTTAAGGTTTAAATGATTTTTTGGTTCAATTCCTATTTCTGCATAGCCACAGAAGTTTCTACTAATAAGGAGACTACTTTAGTGTTTTATATGATTTTTTTAAGAGTCTGAATCACACATACACTGACGTTAGCGCGCGGAGTCCTGTCTGTTCCCGTCTCCACGGTGAAATGTCCCTCTGCTGGGAGCGAGCGCTGAGCACCAGCCACGGCGAGGCTCCGTCCTCGCACTCTGAGCAGTGCAGGCCCACGCGGGCCACGCGCACCTTGGAGCAGCTGCAGAGCTCAGAACTGGATGTCCAGCACGATTTTGTCTTCATACAGCGCGATGACCAGCATGATGGCAAAGCCGAACAGCAGCCCCAGGTTCTGCAGGACAAACTGCCCCACGGGGCAGAAGCCGTGTTCCTCATTGTCGCCATCACCGTGCAGCATCTCTGGGAGCTGCGGAGAGGAAGCGCAGCCTCAGAAGCAGCCACACGTTTGTCAGGCCCACACGGCGCAGCCCCGCTGCACTGCTAGCAGAGGTGCTGCCCTCCTGTCCCCTCAGTTTTGTGGGGAGGACCTTTCTTTCCTTCAGAGCTCCGCGCTGCCGCCCTGCCACTCAGGCGCGAGTGCTGTGCTGGCCGCTGACCCGGCCACGTCCGAGTTGGGCTCTGACACCCAGGCCACTCGACCGTGACAACAGGGGACAGCCTGCCCCTGCCCTGACTCACTCAGATGTCCTACAGAGACCTCAAATTAAACTGTGTGGCCTGCTGAGGTCTTACTGAAGGGCTTCAAAGAAAGAAAAATTTTCCTATAGCCAAAGTGGCCTTCATAAAATAAAAGTATGGTCAGGGCATTCGAATGGCTCTTAGCGTCACATTTCTTTGGCACGGCCCACCGCAATCTGATTCACAGCCACTGCTGACGATATGGACACCATTTTTAATCCCCTTTTGGGCCAAAAACATAGCTCGGCAGCATACGCACCTGCCTGACAAGGACGAGCCTCGAATTTGATCCCCAGTACAAAAAGTAAAAGTGACCATTTTTAACTCATTTCTTCTACTCAACATTTAGAAAATGAGTAATTTTAGGGGGCCCGCCCCTTAGCTCAGCTCTTTAAGTGGCTGCTTCAGCAAAGCAGTCAGGCTCAGGTTGCTGGGGTTCGATCCCCACAACTCAAGCCAGCCAAACCTGCCCTCAAGGCATTCGGAGCAAAAAAAGAAAGAAAATGAGTAATTTTAGTCGTCAAAATCTTAGAAAATATACATAACTCTGTTCCCTTTCTCTTCTTTTTCTTTTTCCATATTTAGTACAGGGTCTATGGGATCTCACAACACAGATCAGACTCATAGTGATTCTGTTTTTAGCCTCCCAAGAGCTGGGATTACAAGCACGCCACCACCACGCCCAGTCTCAATCGCAGTCTCAGCCCACCCCAGGGGCAGGGCCGGCACAGTGTGCTGGGGATCGAACCCCAGCCACCGTGCTCTGCCTAAGCAGACGCTTTAGTCCACTGAGCTATCAGGCCAGCCCTGTTCCCTTTCTCTTGAACACTGCAGCCCTTCCAATGCAACTGTCACACTGCAGAGAATGTCCCTTTGCAGCAGGTATTTTAGGGTGTTTCCTCGGTACATGTCCTGAAGTAGGCATGCTACCAAAGGGATGTCGTGAGCATCACCAGCTCACCACTTGCCCCTCTGCTCACTCCGCTGGGCCCCGTATGTTCCTACAGCTCCCTCCGACATCTTACCACAGAGGCAACCCAGGGCCATGCCAGCCTCCTCTCTGTGGTGGCAAACAAGTTGTGCTGTGTGCTTCTGACATGCGTAAGAACCGCAGTGAAGAGCTCTCTTCTCTGAACAAGCGGCCTTCCCTTCAAACCCTTCCCCAGGAGCCCCTACCCCCTCCCACCCTAAGCCACACCATTCAGCGCTAGTTCTCACAGTGTGGAATGCGCCTGGAAGGCCTGCCCCAGAGCAGAAGGACGGGTCAACTGTGGTGCTGCTGGAGGACAAGCAGACCAGGGGACTAAGCCACACAGAAGACCCTGGCAAATTTCACAAAGGCAATCCTGCCTGCAAATCAATGGGGAAAACCTATGCTTTGTACTCAAGAAAGAAAAAACAAAAATAAGCAATGATTTGCCAACCAGGGGGAGTAGAACAAGAGGCTGGCGGACGAAGGGGAAGCTGAGTTCAGAGATACCTCCCCTCAGGGACAGGGACGGGCCCAGCCTGGAGGGCAGACAGGGCTGGGAAGAACAGGGCTAAGAGCACGGGCAGGGATGTGGGGCTGAACACAGGGTGTCCTCAGGATAGGCATGGGGCAGGGTGGGGGGTCCTTGGGAAGAAGAGTCCGTGGGATGCTGAGACAGAACCCAGAGTTCTGGGAAGCCAGCGCTGCCCAGATTTCAAGAATTAATTCAGATTCATTTCTTCTTATTCTTCCCATGTTTCAGCTTTTGAAAATAAGCATTAAACCTGTGATTAAAAATTTAGGCTGCACAACCATGAAATAAGACATGTGACAGACTATGTGGGAATAAATGGGAATGGGCTACCTGGTTAAAAGACAAGTGGAGTTGCTGGTTCCACAGAAACATGGTCGTATTTGGGGTCTTGGAGCACAGAGCAAGGCAGACTGACTGGCAATGGTGAGCTTAACTAGCTTTAAGCGAAAGCAATAAAGTGTATAGAATCTTTCTGAATATATACCACTGTCTAAAGAAGATGAGCTTACCACATAGGTGTCGTTTTTCTCCATTTTTAACCACACACCATGCTCAAAAAAGATTCTGTTTGACAGCAATAAAACACTTCTGTCCCCACCACGTAAGATCTGCAGGGCAGTGTAACTGTTCCCTAACCACATATAGCACTGCTTTTTAAAAATACAGTGACATCCCCTGGTCAGAAATTTCAGCATCCCAACTGTTCTCCAAAACAGTTGGACTGAGATGGCCGTCCACTGTGGGCAAGTGGGCGGACACTGCGGGCCTGCAGCGCAGGCTCCACTTCTAAGGTAAGACTCACTGCAAGCCAGCACCCCTTCCACTCTGCAAGCGGCACCCCACCCCCCAGGGGTTAGGCTAAAAAGAGAACATGAGCGTCTCACCATGTCCACCAGGGCCACGTAGAGGAACATGCCTGCAGTTACAGCGAAGATCCAGAGCGTGATGTTGTTGGCGTACTGGCCCACGGCTGTGCCGATAAGCATGCCCACGTAGGCCATCATGGCGGACAGGAGGTTGTACACGATGGCCTGCTTCACCGTCATGCCGGCCTTCAGGAGGACGGCGAAGTCACCTGCAGCCAAGATGGAGGAGACAGCGCTGAAGCTGGTGTGAAGGGGGGAACCCGCAAAAACACAGACTGCACGTTGAAAAGATGCCTCGTTAATAGTGGTGGCTAGGGCAGGCTGTGGAGGTAACAGAACTGTTCTGTGCCCATCCTGCTAAAATTAAAAAACCTACACACACAAAAAGGTCAATTTTACTGTATGAGAACTTAAAATGTATGTTTAGAAAGAAAAACAAGAAAGTCACAAAAGCAAGAGTTCCCCGCTCTTTTGTGTGTGCGTGCAAGGTCTCACTACGCAGTTCTGACTCACAGCGATCCTCCTGTTTTCTGCCTCCCTAACGCTGGGGTTACAGGCATGCGCCACCACGCCTGGACTCCATGGACCGCCCAGCGCGCCCGGGGGCAGGGCCGGCGCGGCATGTGGTGCCGGGGATTGAAAAGTAGCCCTGGAGCTTGCCTAAGCAAGGGCTTCGCCTGCGGAGCTATCTCACCGGCCCTCCCCCGCTATGTTAAGTAGCAAGAGTTCTCTGCTCTGCCTGCTTTCTTCCACGAGAAATGGCCGTGGATGAGCTGCTTTCCATCTTCTGCTATCACAGCTATTTCTTCCTCCAGAAAAATATCCAACATGAACTCTGAAACTCCTGCAAGCGTAAAAGGAGCGAGCGCTCCCTGCAGACGCGTGCACGCATGTGTGCCTCTGGGGCTCGCCGAGACAACGCAGCACAGGTGGGTCCACGAGAGCGCATCACAGAGCTGGGGACAGAGCGCACAGCAAGCCCCGAGGGTTCCTTCTCCACTCAGGGTCTGCAGCTGAAATCCTGGGGAAAGCAATGAATTACTCCTCTGAAAGCTGCCAGGGGAGCACCTTGCTGTCACAGAGGCCACCCTGCGACCCCAAGTCAGACGCAAGAGGCTTATGCATAGCAGTTTGCTCCGTCAGATGCCAAATGGACCAGCATTAATCCCCTCTGGACACTTGCTAGCTGACCCACTGACGGGCTCGTTTCCTTCTTTCAAGAAACACTCTTTAAAAAAGATAGGAGGGGCTGGAGAGATGGCTCAGTGGTCTAAAGCACCTACTTAGAACAAGCTTAGCAAG